CATGGCAAAGTCAAACAAATATTTCCCTCAAATATTTAAGACTGTTTGTTTGTTTGAATAGATTATTTATGGGACAGATTATTTATCTGTGAAAAGTTCTGGCAGGAAAATCAAGTCTTACAAGACATGAAAATTCTAATAGTTGCATGACATGAAATTTAACAAATCTGACTCCCAATGTTGTCGCAATGTTGAGCTTAGCAAATAAGGAAATGAAAAAGTAAACTGCACTGTTGTTCCACAAAGAAACAAAAATACATTTTTCAGCCTAATTATTCTCTAATTCATATTAACTTTTCCTCTGTTTTTCTATCTACTTAGTGGAGTTACTCATGACTTACCAGAATAAAGCTCTTTACTCATAAAAGAGCAACCAGAGTCTTTCTATTCAAAATACTGAGCAGGAGGAATACTGGTTAGGAAATTCTCTTTCATAAAGTAGCATGCAGCACTGGCATACAAGGAATAAAGAGTGCTTATTTTTAGGGCTGTATCCCAATAAACCCAATTGTGCTTATTTCATCCTAAAGCTTACCATCTGTCACAGTTCAATTGTTCAGACAAAAGTTAAAGTGATTGTTCACCTTATTCACCAGAGAGATTCTCTAAAAAGTTGCCATTTACAAGAACTTCCCTATATTTATTTGTTACAAACTGCTGTTATTTCCAGCTCAATTTGTCAGAAATATGTAAGCATAAGGGAGAACTTGAGAACTGAGATTCAGATAACTCCACTTAACTGTTACCTTATAGAGTATATGAAAACTTTTCCTTGAAACCAAACAACTCAATCTCTCAAGTACACTGTGACTTCAGTAAGAAATTCATAACTTTTACAGAAGAAAATGCAAGACAGCAGGAACAGCATAACAAAGAAAGGAAATGCAGAGGACCTGCATGAAAGACAGTCTACAATAACTGCATTTGCACTTGTGATTGCAGCAGAGGTCTGCATATCTGTATTAGCATTACAGTTGTAAGCTCAGGGAAAAAGCAATGATGTAGCAGCAGAGACTTCAAAGCAGATTCAGAACTTCAAATTACATTCAAGCTCTCCACAAGGCTTGTGCAGCCCACGATGGAATCTGTGCTGCTCTGTCCTCGCTTTACCAAAACAGCAAGATGAAAGTTAGCGGATTAGATTTATCATGCTATAATTACTCCTCCAAATGCAATGCAGACAGACTCAATGCCTTGAGGGAGTAAGCAAGAAGAATTATCTTCTATTCACTTGGATATCCTAGAATGTTCAAGGGAGTATTCTTGCACCCACTCAAAGACACTGGCAAGAAGCAACTCCTCCAACTGCAATAATATCACCCATTCGCAAATACTGTGAACCTGATCCCGTTCTTTGCTATGCTTTTGCCTTGTGCTATGGAATAATAATGCACTTGAATTAAAAAAGTGTGAAGTACCTCAGTAACGCAAAGAAAACATCATACAACCATTAATTCACCTTCCAAAAAGACTCAGTGATTGCGTCATAATCATTCATCCCCTCCTAACACACATTCACAGCATGACTACTAGATTTCATTTTCTGCTGTTCTAAGTGACTATATCAACTAAAGCTTTTGCCTCATTGGCATGTTTAGCAGCTGCATGGAAAGCCTCGATATAGTATTTGGTATGAAAAAAAACCTGCAAATCTGTAGCAGGATGCTACCCTACAGCACATTTCCTCATATCACAGCATGGTCTTCCAGGTCTCCATCCCTCATTTCCCTCAGAGTTCTTTGAATAGCTCACACAAAACATTTAAGGCAGCAACCTCTTTCCTAGGGTTTCCTAGGGTTTGATGAAATTTAAAAGCATTTTAAAAAATTTCAACTTGCCCAAAGAGCATACTAGCCTACAATGCAGTGACTGGCACTCATCACTATATACTCTACACACTACATCTCACTAGCAAGAGATTAGCCAGCTCAGATATTTATTAGCAGCAAGAGTTCCATATGAATTATCCGTTGAGTATTTATTTTGAGCTTTGTAAATTCTATAGCCAGTGTTAAATGCTATGTTATCACAGGCAGACTGCTAGTAATACTGGACTTAGCTAGTTTAACACTAGCTGAACCTTGTCTATCACAGCAGAATACTGTAGACACTCCTAGGGAGCTCACAAAGTCTGGCACATAATTCAAGACTCCTCTTGCTCTTGAAGCTTCCTCCTAAGCACAACTTTTCTTCATGCTCCAACCTTCTTGAGAGTGCTGATCTTCAGCAGATTTAGTTCCACAAGCACTTTACCTATAATCAAGGGAGTCTTGACTACAGCATGTCAGAAAGAACTCTTGCTTCTTCCTTTCTAAACGAGCAACTCCCACTGAGACTTTCGTAAAATTAAGCTGTACACTTTTTTCCAACAAGTCATTTTTTCTGTTTTGTTCTGCCTCTACAATTGCACTGTGGAGAACTGCTTTGGCTTTGTTCTAATCTAGCATGCTATATCTGTGGCAGAAATCAGAGTTTATCATTATTTCTGATGTAGAAATATACGTACTCCCACCGATGCAACTTCATTACTCCTTTCTGTACTACACTGTGTACAACTATTAACAGCCTTTAACCTCCACAAAATCCCACTGCTAAGATTTTGTCTGGCACCAGATGGAGCAAGTATGTAGCTATACTTCTCACTCAGTTTCAACAGATGGTAGCCCATTAGATTCAGATGAAGTCCTCCTGTGACCTACAGATTTCTTTGGATTATTCTAATTTGATCGGCTCATTTTATTCTTTCCATTTCCATATTTCTGCACAAATACTAGCTGTTACTAGAGATGTTTCGTTTCAGATCCCCTACACAGATATCCCAGCCATTTGGCTCATCCTCACACCAAGCTACACCTGAAGAGACTCTGTTTTTTCTCTTCAATTTTGAGCTATTTGGTGTTACAGCCTCTATTATTAAATCCTATTCATAAATTGGAGGGTTTTTGTAAAGAACATTAAGATTTTGCATGGCATATCAGTGCAGCTGATACAGCCCTACCAACAAGTCGAAATGCGCAAGGCAAAACAAATGTTCTTTGAGGGCTCAACTCAATCATTGTGGTCTTGCTGCAGTCTCTGGTGCCTGAGCAAGAACTCAGGCCAAAAATATCATGTTCAGAAAAACACTGCAATGCTGTGATTTCATTCCTAGTGTTACCTTACGGTTTAAGTAGCTCCCTTGGCTCCTACACTTGTAGCAATTAGAATTTCCAGACAGCTCAGTGGCAGATAATCTAGGCTCTCTCTATATTGCAGCATTAACTGGCAGATGGCAGCCAACTCTTACCATGAATGAATTAAATTCATTGGTATAACACTCGGCTGTACACCTGAAGACTAATTTAAAGCCTTCAAAATTTTCATTCTGCCTTTTATAGAAAGTTGCAAAGCATCAACAACAGCCAGCTATGAAATGCCCGTCTCAATTTTTATCACGGGCTAAGACTCACAGTAGGATATGCAGGTCCCCATGATGCTGTTTCTGGAGTTCAGGAATATTTTGTACTGTTCTTCTAAACTTTTCCGCTAATGCTAGTCTTTTCAGCAACCATGTTATTTAAACGTAGAAGAATACTATCTACTGAAAAACACTGAAACATAGTCTTAAAATTTCTGCACCATCTGCTTGATTGGAAGAATGGAGCATCAGACAAAGAAGGAGGACTGACTGCCATACGCTCTTGATTTATTGTTGTAGTCACCTGAACCTGGAATTTTATCAGGATTGTATCCTACATCACATAGAGCTGATACATCTTTCCATCACAGGGAGGGTACCTAATATACCCACATTACAAAAGTTAAACTGTACGTATGTCAAAGCTAACAGCTTCCCTTCTTCTTATGACCTGAAGAGCACAGGGACTGCACATAATTAGTCCTCTGAAAAAAATCAGACCTCTAGGCCTTCTGCAGGTTTTTTGTGTTGTTTTTGTGAGCAGATATTCATTCTGAAGTTTAAAGTTACGTTGTGGTACTACTATACATTGCTGCATTACATAGCTTTCGTCCCTGCCTACCATGAACAATTCTCCAAGGTAAAACCTGCTATTGCAAGTAAATATATATTCCAAATCCATGACTGTCTGTGCAAAAGTTAGCTGGGCAAACAAGCAGTTGGATGCAGTTTATATACGTAATTAACTTTTTTGCAGATGCATACAGACCTTCTGTCTGTTTCTGACTATTGCTGACTGCAGCCTGTACGCTCTTTCTATTCTTCTCAACCTGACTCATCTACAATGAAAACATGTATTTTAGTAACAACATTTAAAATCCAGTATTACAGGAAAATCATAACAACATAATAGAAAATGAGGGGAAAGAAGGAGTGAAGGTGCAACTTAGTAAACAGAACGGAGAATAGCTGGAGTCAAAGTCTGAGAGCTTTATTAAGCAAGCACTTTATTAAATTGCAATGCACTACTTTACAGTACTGCTTTGAAAATATGTTAACACTATATTACAGTTCCCGGCAGCATGAAGTCTTTCCAGAAAATGTGTCATCACTGTATGCAGCATATTTTATAACCAGTATAATTTTGTTTTATTATATCCAATAATATTTTTTCTGAAATTCTAGGAAGTCTTCCCACAAAAGATAAGTAATAACCATATTTTAACCAATTCGCATTAAGTCTAACCACCTTAATGCAGGAAAAAAACAACTTTATTACACCAAAATGTCTTTAGCTTCATTTCCCCGTCTCTAAAAGAGTTTAGGAGCAACATCTTCAAGCATCTCATTCAAATATTAAGTAGCACAAAACCTTTCAACAATAAAGCTTTTAATTCCATGACTGATCTCTACGCTTACCTATTCTTGCTAAAAGTAGCTGGAAAAATTCAGTGTCCTACACATCATTCTGTTAAACCAAGAAAAATTGAAAATTATCCTAACAAAGCCAGAAATACGTGTCCTTTGTTTTATGTATCCACAAGCATTCTGAAAAATTGACTTGTGCATCTTAAGTACAAAAAAGTAATTCTCCTTCACTTACCAGGCTTGGATTTCTGCTTCGTGATGTGCTTGTGATTGGTAAACGTTGCTGCGGTGCCCGGGACACTTGTTCCTTCCTCTAAGTCAGACTCTGGGATTGTAGTACAGCCACCTAGTTGAAATGGGAAGAATTGTAATGTGATGTTTATGCAACAATACAAGTTCACTAGTGCATAAATAAGGAAAAGAAATGATAAATTAATGGACAAGAAATCCTGAAAATGTATAAAACTGAAGAAGTCTTTACTTAAAACTGGACAAAAATTTCTGTGAAGGAGAACTATTACTAGTGCTTAGAATATGCCTTTAGATTATGACAGTTTAAAAAAGCTTGAATGTATTAAACATATGAAACACGTAAAGATGACGGTTGAATCAGTTCAATCAGTGTTGAATTTCCAAGATGGAAATCATTTGATCTGTATTAAAGATCAGATTGCTAGGAGCTAGTTTTGTAACAAAAGTAATTAAGCATGAATAAAATAACTTCAAAAGTCAAAGCTTATGAAGATTGTTAGCCTGTCACAGAGAATGACATACGATGATATTTTTTGGATGAGCTATTCAATATAGTATTTTTATTAATTAGTGCTAGAAATATGGAAACTCAAGGACACTTTCACTGTCCAACTGCATGCTGTATTGGCAGTGCTTTTATTCATCATAAGTGATCTTAGAATATATGAAATAACGGCTGCTTTTTATTTTGAAATACTACCTTCCGAGTAGCTCACTACAGAACATAGCAATGTAAAGCTTTCTTTTCAAACATGTTTAAATGATTATTTATAAGAATTCAGAGAAAGGTACAATCTAGTACTACTATCATCCAAAGACAGCTGCAGGGGCTTGTAATGGAGTAGGATGACGGAAATTTCTTTCAAAACAGCTATGATCAGCACTTTGGAGAAAGTGCGACTGTTCCACATCAAAAACATGTCCTTACAACGAGTGCATTGCTAGCAATATAGGCTGAATGCTAAGCTTGCCATATTTGTTATATTTTCAGTGGATGGCAATAAGAGTAGCTTTTGTCAGAGCCACACAGATTTCAAAGAAAGGAGGAGCTTTTTAAAATACCACCTTTTTAGCCCAGCTTGAATACTATGTTTTTTCTAACACATTTATCAAATAATTCATATTTCTGCATCTTTTCTTTAAATATTCTCAGCAGCTGTCATTTTAGCCTGAAACTTCGTTCAGCAGTTTCAGATTAATAGTTGATCAAAAACTCCATAAAGTGCATAAAAATCTCTATGCTCAAATGCAAACAAATACCCACCTGCTTTCAAATTTAGCTCTTATTTAAACATTGTGTTGGTCCAAGACCTAAGATTACATCTCATTCTCTTCTCTAATCCTCCCAGGATTACCAATAGCAAGCAAACAAATCCATTTACCTACTTATTGTCTTCTGAAAGGATGCGTTTATAAACTGTACGTTAACTCCCAATGGAGGAGAACACAGACTTTTCTGCTTTATGGAATAATTGTTCTATTTTGAAAAGAAATGTTCTACGCCAGGGCCTATGACTTGGGTACCCAATTTGCAGCAACATAGACTATTCTCTCCTCAGAAATAAAAAGGATAAACTTTGGTTAAAAATAAGAGATATTGACCCAACAATATTGTACAGCATGTTGCATTCCCAAATAGGAAAGCTGTATTTTCTTCAGCAGTTTCGGAAACACTGGCAAGACCACGCACAATGTGCTACAGTAATGTACCACATCGTTCCGCAGTGAATACTGTGGAAACAGACACTTATTTATATGACCTGAAGAACTGATACAGCATTGTTTGTTTCTAAGAGAGAAGACATAAGCTACTCTGTTCCAGACACACCCTGTCAAGCAATTTAAGATACATCATGGATTCATGTTTGACTTAGAGCAAGCAAATCTTTTCAGTTAGAAAGGAAAGTTAGAGTAAATGTGTCAACAATGTACAGACTGATATGATCCATCATAATTTCAGATATTAGGGTATCCATTGGGAAAGTGGACAATTAGAAGAATATCTTCCTGTTAAAATACTATAACACTGGGATAATGCCTGACAGTGTATTATATGTAAATATACCTACACCTTAAATGAAAATAAATACTAGTAAACTAATATTTCTGTTCCCACTTGCAAATTGTGACTAAAATGTAAACTATGAGATTTGACAAAATGGAAACTACTGCTTTAAAATTCAATTTAGATATTTGTCATTCTTATTCTTCAGATAAACTCTATCCTATTAAACATAAACATGTAAACATAGGATACATTAAGGTTTCTCACACAAAAGAACTACTAAGAATGGTAATACATTTTAAAAGGTTTTATAACATTTGATACCATTATGAGTGAAAATCCACTTAGTCCATTAACATTTGTTGCATTTCTGCATGCAAATAAAAGCTTTTACAAGATTCACTCTGAAACCTGAAATTCCTAACTTGGGTAGCCTTGATAACTACTGGCTTTTCACGCCAAAATATTTCATTAGTCATCAATGCTAACAGTAACTGAGTAAGAGCTAGAAAAGGTATATTTGCCCTTAGGTATACCAAACCACTTTCTAAAAGGAAGCAAGACTCCCTGCTCTTGAGTTTGATGTCAGAGATTTGTTAAGATTTACTTGTCAACTGAAACTGTCAGAATGTACCAAAACTAAAGGCAAAATTAACTTTTTCCATAACATTATTTTCCTGATAGAGAGTATTGAAGATTGAAATTTTACCAGTGACAGACTATTTTACATACAAAGAAAGTGCAGACAGAATATACGGAGCAACACTATCAGCATCATTTTCAACATTATGAGTAGTAATTACTTCCTAATTCTGTAAAGATGCTAACACTAAAAATTGTTCCTCCTGAACTGTTTTTAAATACTGTTGTTCCATAAATACACCCAATGTGCCAAGGGCACTATTCTCAGTGAGACTGGATTTCACTAGGACTCTTGTCCCATGAATTATTTCAGTGAAGCACCAGAGAAGAAAGCAATATAATAGTGATAATTTTACTGTTTTTTGGAAGTGAGGCTTGTATGATCAAGGTCTTTGGGATCATGCTTTGGGATCTGTTCTCCTCTACCAATACCAATATCTTTTTCTAACTGCAATTAGAATCTGCTGGACTACACTCCTTATATTGCCCATTTGTCTAGGGCTAAGTAGGATGACTCTGGACCCCCATGTCTACATATCAACCTGCACACAGAAATACAAGGGATATTGGCTGCACCTACTGAAATCAATGGTAAATTCCACTTTCATGCTTCAATGGGCACAGCTACCCATCCTCATAATAAAGATGGATAGCACTGGCAACTGCTATGAGTTCCCAAAGAAAAGAGGGAGTAGTGGATACAAGGGAATTGCCATGTTCTAGAGAAAGAATGTGAAGAACTAAAATGTTCGCTGAAGATAGTGACTTGAGTCAAATGGGAAATGGGTAAGGCACAAATTCACACCAGGGAATATAACATTTAAACCACATTTTTTAACCAGGATTTTACAATTCAAAAATAGTTTATAATTCAGAAAGACTAGACTGAAAAGAACTCATTCCTTTTAGAACTCTAAATTCTTTTTAACTTCATATTTCCAGGGTTCTACTGAGGGTATTTATTTTGAGTTTCCTGGTCACAGACTAATACAATTTTAAGTCTGAATTCTCTTTGAATTCTTGCATGTATCTGCCTCCATTTCAAAAGGTATCCACTGAAGGTCCATTTTAGCAAGCACTTAAAATTTTTATCCGTCTAGAGTCCCATGAAAATCACAACAGCATAATCATTCACATTCAGTGATAATTATTTAAGTGAATGGTACAAAGCAGGAAAAGTGAAATATTTAACAAAAAAGGGGAGGGGGGGGGAAAGGGGGGAATAGTACATAAATCTACAGACTGGAAATGATCCAGGTTGAGAAGTTCTCCAGATGTCAGTCTGTAAACATTGCTTCATAAAATGAATTTCACCATTAATTGTTGGCAGGAATAACATCTAGAATATGGTATTTCAGTTGACTGACTCTTCCTTCTCTTTCCGTGTAGCTAAAATTCTTGTCTGACATCACACATTTTTTTATCAGTTATGATAAATCCAAGCAGGAAGCTGCAGTCAGCAAAACTCTTTGATAGGGTACAACATGCACAAAACTACACTCAAGCTAATTGTGAACTTTGTTCACCAAAGGAAATGAGACTTCTCTTGTTTATTTTCACTATATCTGTTTTTGCAACACATTTAGTTCTTAAGTTGGAAAAAGACACCCACACCCAAAGGAAACATAAACATACAATACATAAAGTTAAGCATTTACAGTTTTCCTACAGGTTCCTATCACCATGTTTTTACACATGTTCTAATATGACTCTAAAAATTGAAAAATAGGAAAACAAAAGTAGTATACATCTAAAGAATAAAGGTACTTTCAGGGAAAGACTGTTTGGCTTCTTCTTTCTTTTACAGTCATTCACAACCTAAACTATTCAAAAGTTTCCATTTTCCTCCTGAAATTCACTCTCTCACAAGAGTCTTTACAGAAAGAAAAAAAAAAGTTTCACAAGCAGTCTTTGGCAGCAAGACAGTCAAGGTGTGAGCAGGAAGTTCTCTAAAAAGCAGGTTTCTCATCCATGTGCACACCATTATATGATGGAGTTAGTCTAAACAGCAAAGTTATTCCACAGAGAATTTCAAAACTATAGACAAATGCATATGCAGTCTTTTTTTGCAGTGTCTATAATTTTCAAGAAAGCGTATGCTAAAATGCAGTCTAAGGTATTAGAGACTGTTCATTCTAAAACAGTTTTAGACAAAATAATTACTCCTTACTGACTCAACGAGCGACATTTAATAAAGCCCTATGAATTTTATTGGTATTTGCTCAGCATAAAGTAGCTTGCCTGCTTATGTTACCACTGCACACAGCCTTTGTGGCTAGATAGTGCTATTGCTGCTTCCCAGAAAAAAAGAGAGAACAGTAAGATCTAGAGAAGAAAACACTACACATTTGTGAGTGTAATGAGTCCAGGCAAGACTGATTCACAGACTGGATCTGGAGTCCAGTGCTAGAAATGTAAGCATATTCCCATTACTAAACGTTAGCGGG